ACAAACAATAAAAAATACTCCACAAAGTTCAAATATTAAAGCTATCGGCCACAGAACATAAAACAACTATCCTACTTTTTTCAATGAATTCACAACCAAGATTACAAACTTCAGCAAAATCTGGAGTTTTGAAAAGCAAACAAAAATTTTAAAACTAAAAAATAAAGTTATCAAAATTAAAACTTTAACAAATGGCTTAAGTGATTTTACACGCTGAAAAGATGACTTATAAGTTGAAAGATGAGAAAGATGACTCATATCAACCTACATACAACCACGCAAAATAAAGCAGGAAGATCCAAAAAGATAAAAAATATGGTGGATACAGTCTGAAAATCCAATAGTGCTTTAAATATTATACCAAAGACAGAGGAGAGAGAATGCAGGAAAGAAATATTTAAAACTATAACAATAGAGCATTTTGCAGAACTGACGAAAGCTATCAAACTACAGATAAAAGGAGCCCATGAACCCTAAGCATTATTTTTGAAAAGGTTAAAAATAAATAAGTAAATAGGAAAGAAATATACATATAGACATAGCAAAGCAAAGGTGTAGACAACCAAACAACAAAAAGAAATAGAAAAATCATAAAACAGAAACAAAGAGTACCTTTACAGAAACACCAGCTATTCTGATAATTTACTTCTGAATGGCAACAATGTAACTTCTAAGCCAGTAAAATAATGCTATCAAAGTACAGAACAAAAATGATTCCCAACCTAATTTTATGCCCTGCAAAAATAGATGTGGATAAATCTTAATGAACTTGGTTAGTTAAAAATAAAATGTACAAAATTAAAATATAATAAAAAAGGAGCTATAAGTTGAGAGGAGTGGAAAGGATAGATTTTAAGTGCTATAAACTCTTCTTATTTTCCAAAAGGAGATAAAGTATTAGAATTGACCTTTGATAAGTTCATTTGCCTCTGAGAAGTTAAGAATACATGTTGTAACTCTTAGAGTAACTATTTAAAGTATAGAAAAAGTGTATAACTTATAACCTATTATAGAAAAAAATAGAATAATTGAAAGGTCAACAACTCTGAAATAAGGCAAATATAGAGAAAAAGGAAGAGAAGGATGAATAAAATAATGAGGTACATTGAAACTAAACATTTCAGTAATTGTATTAAATAATAGCAATCTAAATGGTCTGATTGTAAAAACTAAGATTATCAGAGTCACTGAAGAAACAATTTCTGATCATATGTAGTTTATAAGTGGCATATTAAAAACATAAGTAAATAGAACATTTGAAAGTAAATGAGAGGAAAATACGTA